GTTTCAACTCTGTTTTGGGTTGGTTGGAGCATTTGTTGCTTGCTTTTTGTACTTGTAGTGCAATTGTGCTTACTAGTCTAGCATGCCTAATGGTTTAGCCTATTATTCTAGCTTGTGGTAGCTTAACTTCAGCATGTTTTAGCTACTATGTTGGCCTACTTTAACTCTGTTTTGGGTTGGTTAAGTTCTTCAAGGCTTTTATTGCATGGCTATAGTGTGATGGTCTTCACTAGCTCATTGTTTTGAGGCTTTAAGCATGAAGTGTTTGAGTGGCTTGCATGTCATAGCATCATTTTATATGTGATTTCAGTGTGTACAGCTTTGTCACATGCTCATTTATTTCACTCTTTCATTGCTTTTGAGAGTTGTGCCTTGAGTCTTGTTTGCAAGCTAATATGTGAGAATGTTTTCCTAGCCTTTTATGCCTCAATCTCAGCAAGTTTTAGCCACTGTTTTGGCATGTTTTAACACTGTCCAGAGCTGGTTTGGTTAGTTTAGCTTTGTATTGCATGCCTATGGTGTTGTGATTTTCACTAGCTTAATGTTTTAGGCTCTTAGCTTGTCTTGCATGTGCTGCTTGCATGATTTAGTGTCTTTTTGCATGCCATATCTGCACTGAAATGTCTGCAACCTCCCTCTATTCTTCACTCTTTACTTTGTTTTGAAAGTGGTCTTGAGCCCTTTGTTGGCTTGAGTGTGGAATTGAGGCTCTCATGCCTAATGGTTTTAATCCTCCCTTGAGGGTTTCTACTAACCAACAGCATGAGGCCTCTTTCATGCTCAAGGTACTTGTGGCGTAGGCCCGCTTTCCAATTAGAGGACTCTCACTTTGGACTTCATCGGTTAAAGGATTAATCGGTAATGTAAAATGTGTAAACAAAATAGGACAAGTAAAACTTAAGCAAGATAAGCATATTGTGTTGCATTGCATGTGTTTGGATCGGGCGTTAATCCAACACAAGAAAAATGGGACGTTTCATACTCAAAGTGATGAAACGTGCCACTTTTCTTGGTCACCGTCACCTTTGATCTTGCATGATACGGTGGTGGTCCTTCGAGTCTTATTTGTGCATTCATTAAACTTGTACAAGCTTGGTTTTCTAGCCATCATGCATTGAAAATGCTTGGCTGATGGCTCAAGAGCCAAGAGCTACACTCCTTTGAGCTTGAGAAATGATAAGGAGTGTAGCAGTACACACATTCCTTGAAAATGCTTTGTTTTGCCCCTATTGCTCTCTGTTGCAGCAAAAGCATATGCCCAGAAAATGGGAGTGGTCGACCGGCCACTTGCAGTGGCCGACCGGCCACTTGCAGTAGCCGATCGGCCAGTTAAGGCGGTCGATAGCCATTTTTTGTGGCCAATCGACCACCAGTGAATTTTTCTGCAAATGTGTTCCTGTGTTGGAGTAGAGGCAATCTAGAAGTTGGTACAATTTTCCAAGATCAAATGAGTGCAAGCAGAGGCATCCGATGGCAAGACAAGAGCATTTTCAGGAGGAAGCAACCGAGCATGCATGCATCCCTCGTCCCTCGAGGCCGTTTAAATTGCTTTACTAGTTAGTTAGCGCAGCTAATCATTCAATTCATTTTGTAATATTTTAATTAGCTTAGCATAGCAAGTTATTCAATTATGTTGTAATAATTAGTTAACTAGAATAGTTAATTACTTTCGTTTTGTAATAATTAGCTTAGCTTAGCTCTTTTTCATTCAGACCCTCCTTCGCGAGGGCATAATGTTATAATAAGTGTGCGTGTGTGTGTGCATGTCTTCCAACCCCACGTCTTCCTCCATTTTATTTAGTCACTTTCGATGGTTAGATTAGGGATCACTTTTTGATTAGCATACCTTATGCTCGCGTGTTTGCATCATTCATTTGTCTTGCACGCACCGAGGCTCGGCGCATCATTCAAACTGCATCGTATTTCAAAACTTATTTGAATATGTGTTTCAAAGCATGCTATCGAAGTATTGCAAATGCCATATTAGTAGCCGAGCCTATAATTGCATATTGCATGTGTTGCATTAGGCATCTTGTATAGTTAGGATCATGCATATTTCTAACTAGTTTTTGTTTTGGCTTGGAGTACTTGGTGAGTTTTATGCTTTAGCATGCTTGCATGAGTGCGATTTTCATGTTGCCATGATAGCATGCTTGCCATGAGGCTATTTGCTTAAATGATAAACTGCATGAATGCCTATGGATGAAGGCTTGTTGCTTGAATTGGAACAATTCAACGAGTGTGAGTTTTAAGCCCACTTTGCAAAGTGGCAGATCATGTTTTAAGCCCATCATGCTTGATGGCAAATCCGCGTTTTAGCCCGCTTGAGGGTGGCAAATTCAAACCATTTTCGAAGAAACAAACATGAGTTGAATTTGTTCCATGTCTTGCGATTTAGTCTATATTTGCTTGTGTGCGTCACATAGTAAAGTTAGCTAATAACCGGAATAAGAACACGTGTTTGTAAAACAACATACCATGATAATAGAGGCCGATCTTTGATCAGGCGAGCGGGGGTGCTCATTTCAGGACCTTCCCCTCTCGTACCCAAGTTCCCGAGCCGAGGCAACTTTAGTGATGACGGACACGTGGCCTTTGGCGCGAGCAAAGGTTTCCTATATTTCCTAAAAATAAAATATCTAGGTGGCGACTCTGTAATCTGGCAAAGAAGTTCAGTTTTGGCATTATTTGATTCAAAATTTGGTTTTCCAAAATGATTTGCTGGATTGGACTCTTTGGTGTTTATCAGTTTCACGTTGCACTTTGTGAGACTAGATTCAGAACCGTGATAGGAGTCCGACCTGTAGGACCAATTCGAGCTCTCCGAAAGGGTGCGCGAAGAAAGTCGAGCTACACACAGCCCCATGGGGGACTCATTCCCTTCTACATCAACGACATTGATCCGGCTTTGATCAAAATAACCAGGCTGGAGAAGGCGCTCAAAAAATCGCAAGGCTTCAATCCCATCCTGGATATTGAAGACGGTTATACAAAAGCCTCGGTCAGATTGCCGTAAAAGTTCAAAATGCCTCACATCAATAGATTTGATGGTAGTGGAGACCTTATTGTACATGTTCGTCTTTTCTCAGATATGCTGAGACCAATGGGCCTAACTTGGGCTCAGAAACTGTCATTGTTTGGAAGGACTCTATCGGACGTGGCGTCTATCTAGTACGCCAAATTGGAGGACTCGACTAAATGAAATTGGGAAGAACTATCTGAGGGGTTTGTTAACCAATACTCATACAATACTCCGATAGAAGTAACAATCAGTGAGCTGGAAGTAACCACTCAGAACCCTAAGGAACCCGTCATTGACTTTGCTGCAAGATGAAGGGCAAAGGCAGCTAGAATGACGAACAAGCCCTGAACAAGGGAGCAAGTCAGGTTGGTAGTTCAGAACCTTGAACCGGACATGTTGCAAAGAATGATCGTCGCACCACTATCTTCCTTCGCCGCCTTACATGAGTTAGGGGTTCAAATTGAGAGTGCTTTCAAGAAGGGAATCATTAAGAGAACTAGCGAACCGGTAAAGAAGCCATTTACTAGGGATACTAATGCTAGCAATAGCACTATTCCTAGGCCTACTGAAGTCAGTACCGTCACTACAACAACCAAGATAGCAGATCCATTTGCTGGCACAACCTCACAAACCACTACCATCAAAAACCCTTTTACTGAGAAAAGCCTAAGATCAACCACTTCAACTAGGCCCCAAGCTCAAAATTTTCATCCTCTTTACATGGATCTCTATTAAGCCTTGAAAATTCTGCTAGGAAAAGGGCACCTACAGCTCCTAGAACCCTAGCCCCTCCCAAGTCCTCTTCCACCAGGACATGACCCTCGATAAATACTATAGCTATCATCAACAACACGGTCATGATATGACCTGTTGCATCCGCCTCCATCATAAGATTTAGGATCTTATTAATGAAGAAATCATAACTCTACCAAAACGACCTCTTGCCACCACTAACCCATCACCTTCACACCTCAACCTGATCTATACATTGCCATCCACCTACAACCCCCAGCATATACATCACCCTAACCCATTTACCTAAGCGTAACGTGTTCATTCCAAAAAACACAGACTTGTGTATGTTGGATGCACCTGAACCCCAATTGTCTCAACCCCCAAAACTTGAACTCTCTAATAGTCTAATTCCAGTCCAACCAACTCCAAAAAGCCCGAGGCAACCAGATCACCAAGACCAAGTCGATTCAAATACCTTGCAGGCACCAATAGCTGAACCCACTACTTTTAAGTTGTTGAGCATGATTAAAGATCTTCAGAGCACTGTGGCAGATTTAGCCATTCGTATCTTGGCTTTGTCATCGACCACATTACGTGCCAAAAATTTCACGTTAAAAAACTACTCAATATTGGGGTGACCTACAATTGGAAAGGGCCAACCCAAAGATATCTTAAGTCTGGGTGATGACATGTCCACAACAAGTGGACCTTGCTCCGATATAGCCACCCAATCCATTGGCAAAGCTGAAGTGGCAAGAACGAAGTTGGGGCAAGTATTGATCCTTATGCACATCTCCAGTGGGCTATTGAGGTTTTAAAAGTCAAAGGGTTGAACAAGCAGCAAGTGCTTACAGTTGTTACAAAGACTATGAATGACACTTTTATTGCTCAGGTTAGGAGAATTTTGAACCGGGGGTAACCCATGAAAAGGGATGTCGTACCAAAAACACTCATTCCAACTCTGGTCCTACACTCGTAAGAGATCATCAAACCCAGTCAACACCTGCCGACCCTTCTGTCAACACTTTCAGGACTGGTAACCGCATCTTCAATCCCCTTTACATGACCTTGTCTAAAGCTCTCCAAATCCTCATCGGACAAGACCACCTCAAACCCCTTGACTTTCGACCTCTCTTTGATCGTCTTCCAGCTAGGCATGATGCTGCCAAGTATTGTGCCTTCCATCAGTAACTTGGCCATGACACTAACTGTTGTTTTTTTCCTTCGCTATGAAGTTCAAGACCTGATTGACAACAAGATCATCACTCCACCAAGTCCTACAAAGTCTATCGACATTGGATCAACGAACTTGGGGGATAGTGCGACTAGTCCTGTGATCGGACATGAGCCACCTGTTGATGGCATGCATTTTACTCCAATCATGGTGGATGGCACGCACAGATTTTAGCAATTTGAAAATGCTTTTAGTTTTACTTTTTGAACTAGGGGTTGAGTCTGCCTTGTTGTGTCAGAGTGTGGTGATTTCGACGGTGTTAACCCAGGCATCATTGTCCTGTTTGTGTTTGTCTTGTCATTTCTTTCTTTCTTTTGAGTCTGTTTTCATCGTTGAGCCAGAAGATCTAAATGAAATGGCAGTAATTTTTGCTTACTTCTCTGTGCCTTTAAATCATTGCATTGACCAAAGCTTTTCAACACTTTTTCGAAAACTATGATGAAGACAAAGAGGAAAGAATTCCTCAGGATTTGCAAAATTTGATCGACTAAGAGGAAAAAGGGCGTGCTAAAGCCCTTAATGAATGAGATCATGTCTGTTAGTGTGAGTACTAAGAAGGATCCTGGCTTGGTCCAGAGTGGTTCTACATTGTCTTCAGATTAAAAGTTTTCAAAAATATTTTTGCGTGGTCCAACGAAGACATGCCTGGAATTGATCTTGAGATTATATAGGATAGGATCACTCTTGGCCTCAAGACTCGACCCCTTTGCTTTAGAAACCTCGATGCAGAATGTTCAAATGGTCAGCCGCAATATGAGGCTTACATGGCCAGATTAGAATAAGCTCTTGAACTAGGGGCAATAAGGTTGATTATGATCGAAGGGAGCTTGCATAGCTAGATTAGAAGCAGCTCTTGAACTAGGGGCAAAAAATGTCAGATGTGCTCAAAGATTCAAAATTGGGTCATTCTCAAGCCACTAGAGATTGGCAAGAAAGTCAAAGGACAATTGAGTTCCTATCCACGACACTAGGAGAAAATTCAAACCCAATTAAATGTGCCTTTACAACATCAAGACTTTTAGTTAGGAACAGTAGCTATTCTTGTGGATTCAGATGGCTTAGAGATCCTACGACCAATCAACATGGACAAGTCAACTTTTTTATCCCTGAGAGGCTCGCTGGGCCGAAAGCCCAGAAGGGTGACCCAGGCAAAAGTTAGAGCAAGAAAAGAAAAAAGAAAAAAAGAAAAAAAAGATAGAAAATGAAAACAAAGAACAAAAAAAGAAAAAGAAAAATAAATAGAGCTCGCAAGGTCGAAAACCCAGAAGGGCGACTTTGGCAAAAGTTAGAGCATAAAAGGAGAGAGTTAATACTTGAGTGCACCTTAACCCCCGAGAACTACGTAAGGCTTGATTCCCATCTTTGGGACACGTAGACAACTTCATCCTGAAGTTCGACCCCAACCATTATTAGCTTGCCTGTTTCATCCATGTTGATTGGCTTATCCTTATTCAAACTCAGCTATCCTATCCATGTCCAGTTGGCTCATCTTCGTTCAACTTGGGTTGTCCTATGCCATTAAAAGATTTAGTTGCAAGACAAATCAAGTTCGGATTCGAAGTTATGCGTCTCAAGGGTTACTTCCACATTGGTCGGTTAGTGGCCATTTGCAAAAACTATTTTTTAGGATTTTTAATGAAGTTGACTAATTTTCTCATAAATAATTCCATTTTCCAAAGCCGGACCATTTCTTGGACCCCCCAAAAAAGGGAAACTTTCGGTGCTCACAGCTTAACTTACATGATTTCGAAGCAGAAAGTCGAACAAGTATGTTAATCTAAACTCTCATGTTGGTAAAAATCATTTACGCAGAAAGGCGAATAAACACAAAAAATATATATATACATATATGGTCAAAGAGATGAACTAGGGGCATGGTTGAGTCAAGTTTCCTGTCTTTTCCCCTTGTCAATGCACTCGCCAGAAAGGGCACAATTGAAGCTAGCCGCAACGGCCAAAACTCTCTCATCCTCCGAAGTAGTGAGGTGTCGAGCCGAGTGCGTAGCATGAATTAGAAATAGAGTTAGATATTCGACCCCTTTCATAAGGTCTACAACTTCCAGCTTATCCATCAACCACACCTTGGAAGGGATAAAAAAATAAGAGAGATTAAAGAATAGCGAGATGTGCGTTGAGAGAAAAAGTAAGGAAAGGGCTTTTCAGATAAATAGAGATGGAGGACCAAAGTGATGTGAGAGCCATAAATGAGAAAGGGTGGGAAACAATACCTAGAGGAGCAGGCTCCCCATAAACCGAGAGATCTCCCACCTATGGAAAGCAAACATCCAAGTGTTGTGTTTGTGGTTTTTGTTTATTTTGAGTCTTGTTTTGAGTTGTTTTGATTTCAGTGAGTATAAATAGATGTGTAGGCTGTTTTTACTTTGTTTTCCCTTTGTTAAGTTGTACTTTGGTTAGTCATAGGCACAATACCCAGTTACGAATTCATTCTCAGTTTTAATTACAAAAATAAATTTTCTTTCATAAACTGCAGGGTCCAACCCCAATTGAAGGAGAGAGCAATAGAACAAGGGCCTATCTGAAGCTACACTGGTTCCGGGTTGCAGAGCAAAAGAAAAAGAGGGAAAATTGGAGCATCTGAGTTTGTTTTCAACTTTAGCAATTTGCGAGATTGCATTCTGGATGCACCTTCTTTGGCCTTGTCGTTTCTTCGAAGTATGAGTGTACCTCTACCTCAAGCTCAAGCCTGCTTCAAGCCAGAATGGCGATCAAAAGTGCCCTCCCCGAACACCATTTCCCCATCAAAGGTGTCTTGGTTGTGTTTGCAACGAGTTCCTAGGAGACCAACTGCGACGGTGGAACCTAGAGTTGGAATGGCGATGCCTAAAACACCAAGCTTTGGAATTTCCGAGACTAAAGTCTTGGTGTATCCTCAGCTTTAAATTTGGAATGGCGATGCCTAAAACACCAAGCTTTGTTTGTTTATTACATTTCCTAAACATCATCCATTACATTGCTTGTCACATATATTATATCATCTATCGCACCCATTGCATCCATTTGCATCGTGCATTATCTTGTATCATCTGTCCTTTACACTGAAATGCGTTTAGGATCTTTGTCCCCTAGGCTTTTCTTAGAATGTGTGGGAGCATGTTCTCGAGCAATGTTTTTCCTCTTCTCACAATTTCAGTGTGTTTGGAATTTGTTTTTCCTCTTCTCACGATTTCAGCGTGGCTAGAGTGTTCTCTTCCTCTTCTCAAGATTTTGGTGTGGTTAGAGTATGTCATTCCTCACGCGATTTCAGCGTGTTTGGAATTTGTTTTTCTTCTTCTCATGATTTCAGAGTGGTTACAGTGTGTCCTTCCTCACATGATTTCAGCCTGTCTGGAATTTTTTTTTTTCTCCTCTTATGATTCCAGCGTGGTTGGAGTCACTTCCTCTTCTCACGATTTCAGCGTGGTTAGAGAGTGCCTTTCCTCACACAATTTCAGCGTGTTTGGAATTTGTTTTTCCTCTACTCACGATTTCAGCATGGCTAGAGTGTTCTCTTCCTCTTCTCACGATTTAAGCGTGGTTAAAGTGTGTCATTCCTCATACAATTTCAACGTGTTTGGAATTTATTTTTTTTCCTCTCACGAGT